GGTAAGATTTATGCTGTGCAAGTGCCTGGATTACATACATAGGTCCATGAGAAGATCACCATCAGAGCATTTTTCTAACTATTTGGGGTCGGCTACACGAATCCTAGTTCGCATTTTGCTCTATCAAGGGTCATATCCTCAGTACGGCCACGAGTCCCATTTCTTTTCTCACTACTTCTAACCATGTCCTTTTGAATCTGCCCCTTGTCCTTTTTGTGCCCTCCACTTAAACTACCTCAACTCATAAGAGGTGCTACACTGGGTTTGCGCTGCACATGGCCAACCCACCTAATTCTACTTTCTCTCATCTCATTGTCTATTGGAGCTACACCTAAGTTCTCCTCAATGTATTTATTTTGAATTCTATCCTTTTTGTCTTGCCACTCATCCATCTCAACATTCTCAAGTTAGCTACACATCCTATGGGTATGTTGTTTCTTGACCGCTCAACATTCCGCCCCATAAGGCAAAGCTGATCTCATAACTGTCCTTCAACTTTATTGGTATTCGATGATCACATAAAACTCCGGTTACACATCTCCACCTCGCCCACCCTATGTGCGACATTTTTTCAATCCTTCCATTTTCTTGGATTATCGACCCAAGATATCAAAAGTGCACTCTTTTTTGGTATTTCTTATCCGTCAAGGTCCTAACGATAAAATGCAGCGGAGATTTGATGTTGATGCCCTCATGAATCATGGAGGTGAACTCAAAAGTTTCTTATTCAGTGAGTGGGAAAACGTCACTTACTGAGCACATGGATTTCAGAAGTCGATCTGAGGGCGCTACTGATGAGAACATTCTTGAAGAGTATGATTCAACAAACTCACGAAATTCGAGTTCTTTTTGGCAAGGGGGCATGATGCACCCTTGACTTTGACATTGTTTTATTTATTTGGTACTTCTATTTCATAATTTTCATGTAGAGCAATCTTTTATTAGTGCTATATTTCCGTACTAACTGGGATTCACACGTGAGTCCTAGAATTGTGGGATTTTGATGAAGAATTCACGTACTAGAATAGGGAATTGAATTAGGCTTGTGACTCCTTGGGGGATGGGAGTCTTAATTTGGTAGTTTTCATTTTAGGAAAGGGCTTAGCTTTAGTTGTTTTATTTTACTTAGTTTTTTGTGTATAAAAGATGGATAGTAGGTGCTCAGGTGGGCTGCTGAAAATTTAGATATTTTTTTTTTAAATTGCAGAACAAAATCGTGCTTCATGAGAGAACATATATCTAGTTACTGGTTTTCTCTATTTTCAAGCTTGTGAGTATGTTTTTTGAGTTTGTGTCTGAAACTTTCTTCTCTTAACTCTAATTTCTCTTAATTTTCGCTGCGCCATCCTCCTTGCCCCTTGCTTCCAGCGCTTTAAATTTAATGACAAACTTGGAGATGGTTCTAATGATAAACAATGCTAAAAAGCTGCTTATCTTAAGATGTTCTCTCCGCCTAGCAAGTCTCAGTTTGCTATTGCACTGTCTTCTTTGTGTTGAGTTCCTATAGGCCTGCGGTTGAGGGTTCAAATGCAACATGAGGAAATTTTGGTTTCAAGGAAGGATGGGAGAAACTTTAAAAGCCTATGTGTAGGCATTTCACTTGGCTAGTATGTTGGACCTTCCTGGCCCGCCAATTATCATATTTATAACAAATGATCTTGCTGAAATTGATATGATTTGTCTATGTAATTGTAAGTACTCGTGTTTTGCATGGTTATGAGATATCTGTACCTCCAATTTTGTAAATTGTCTTGTAGAATATGAGTATACAACATGTCATGAATGTTGCCTTGAAATGGGAGGAGTGGTGTATCATGTGCTCACATGCATGTTACTTGCTAGTCTTTCGTAAGAAAAATTTGGACTGGTACTTCTCAGCTGAACACACACTCATAGGTCATAATGCTGTTCTTGGGTCAGTTTATAGAAGTATTATAACTATTTGATTTCTTAATTTACATGATCTTAGCTTGCAATGGTAAGTAATATGTACTTATCGAGTGTAGGGGTTTGTATTTGTTTTGACCATATGTTTTTTGAAGAAAGTAGGGTTTCAAATGATCTATTCACCTCACCTTATAGTAGGAATTTGGTCTCATGCAAAAGATTGGGGCTACTCATTATAGTATTTGCTCCTCTAGAATCTCTTGTCCCATCATGAACTTCCTGAATTTTGAGGATCATCAGTATCTCTTCATTTGTCTTTTTTTGTTGGCTCCTTAATGATGGCCCTAACAGATTTCCATTGTGATGGTTAATGTAAAATTATTTTATACAAGATTCTTGTTGGCGTGGTTGGGTTGTGCTTAAAGAGGAGAGCACTTCACTGGTTCATGACTCTAAGTAGAGGGGAGGCTAAAAAGTTTCAAAAGTCGTTTTGTGCAAGCCACATATGAGAATCACGCTGCATAGTCCACTTCATGGTTACCCAATGTTGGATGACCACTCCATGGGAAATGAATTGAGCAATTGTCAAAACAAAGTATATCTTTGTAGGCTTGGCCTGGGACCCAAGTGGCTCAATTTTTTTTATCTCCAATTTGATCTTGAGTATTTTATTAGTGAGGTTATGGAGTTCACTTGCAATCTTAAAGGTTGTATGTGCTCCCCATTTCAGCTAAGTGTTGTCTCAACTTTCAACCACATGGTCAAAAGTGCTTTCTACATGTTCATCATCATCATTTTGGCCTTTTTCCAATTAATTGGGGTTGGCTACATGAATCCTCCATTCTGCTCTATTAAAGGCCATATCCTATGTGAGGCCACAAGTCCCCATATCTTTTCTGACTTCTTCCAACCATGTTCTTTTGGGCCTATCCCTTGCCCTTTTCTGTCTTTCCACTTGAACTAACTTGCACCTCCTAACAGGTGCTGTACTTGGTTGGCGCCACACATGGCCAACCCACCTAAGTCTACTCTTTCTCAATTTATCGCCTCTTGGTGCCATTCCTAAATTCTCTCGAATAGATTCATTTCGAATTTTATCCCTTCTTGTCCTGCCACTCATCCATCTGAACATCCTCATCTCCGCTACACTCTTTCTATGGGTATATTGTTTTTTGTTTGCCCAACATTCTACCCCATAGAGCAAAGCTTTCTACATGTACCATATGCAATATATGTCATTTTTTTTGTGGTTTGTTTTATCTTGTCATTAAAGTCTTTTCCTTACAGAAAATAAAAATGAATTTCAGTGAACTTGGGAATTCTCCCTAACTGTTTGAAATTCTATGGGTTTTACCAGAATCGATGGTACGCCGTATGATTACAGGTGTGGTTTCCTGCTGCAAGAGATTACATTCTTTGGAAGATGACCCCGAACCATCTTTTGATTATTTGAAAAGAAGGAAGCAACATGATTATAAACATGCTGATACATATTAACTGAGGCTTAGGGAACTTGGGGCTCATAAATTCCCCCAGATTCTATGACCATGTAGGCCCTTAGTTTCATAATTGTGGGCTTCATGACTGGTGGTCTAGGTTGGGAACTGAAGTTAGTTTGCTGAGAGTCTGAGACCCACATAAGAGACTGATATATGGTGTCAGGGATTTTGTTGTCCTGTGGAGCCCGCTTTTGTTTCAGAACCATTTGACTTAGAGCTGGGGGCCTATTTTAGGAATTGGAATTAAAATTACTGACCTAACTGACATGCTAAGTACCTTGGATCAGTAAAGGCTACTGCTACCCAAAGCTCAAGGAAAGCAATTCTAGGGGAACATAGAGCTATCCAGGGTGGATGGAGGATAGGAGACACATTTGTTTGGGCCTGTTGACATCATGGGATGATACGGAGATAGAGTGAGAGCTTTGCTTCATGGCCTTGAAGATTCTCCTTCACTTTTCCCAGCTCCCCTGATTGTCAATGTTTTGTGTCCTCTAGTGTGATTTTTGGTATATTATCACTTGGTATCTGCAGGTGGGCTTGCAGTCAGACAAAATACCCTTGGAAAGTGGATAATAATGAAGGAGGGCATTTAAAAGAAATCAGGAGGTGTCAATCTCCAGCATCCGCATCATCTGTAGCTTTTGCATTCCTTGAATTCAAGATTTATGGAAAGTTTTGGCAAAGTTTTGTGTTGGCTTCCTACCTATACAACCCACCTCCTGTACCCAAGCTTGGGATGGGTTAGGGGAAAGTTTAAGGTCCTCACCCTGTTTGCTCTCGTGCCATTTGAAATAAACTGCTGTGTTATTATTGTTTGTAAAATTCTCTGCATCCATATAAAATCTAGTTAAATTTTGTAGTTCTTCATCAAGTTGCAAATTGTGGGCCACTTGTCAGCAACAATTGCAGGTTATCTATAATTAGGTGTAATTGGAAAATTTCTTAAATTTCTTGCTTGTTTTAGATGATTCAGTTATGGTTCCGGTTGACTAGTTGGGGAAGGTCAGAAAATCGAGTTTGAATTATAAGTTACTAGGTTGTTGTACATTTCTGATCAGCAGATTCTACTTCTAAACCAGTTGCTGTAATATGTAAAGTCTGATGAGACAGGCAATACAGATTACTCTGGAAGCTAACTCGGATTGTTTCAATGGTTCTTATAACTAAATACCGTTTTGATAAAATAGTCCATGTATATTAAGTAGTTCATTCTCATATTGTTGTCTTAACTCTTCGATAAAATGCTAACTATATTATTGAAAAAGAAAAACTCTTCAATAGAGAGCATACAATCTTATCTTAGAAAATAATTCTATGGGAAGCAGCTTAGGGTACTTGATAAATTTGAGGGGTCAGATGGCTTCATAATTTTTGTGAATATTTTATTCGGAAGTAGGATGGATTGTTTTTATTTGTCTTGTCAAACTAGAGTTTTAGCAGCTTTGTGTTTAGTTTTTTTTTTCTGTTTTTCCCTTTATGTGCATGAGTGATATTGGCTTCATCTAAATGTTTCATGAGTTGTCTAATGTGTATTAAACCCTGTAGTTATAGGGATTTTCAATAATGCCATTGATTTATTGTGATCTTTTCTTATCTCTCTTTTACTTGCAGAAGAATCTGAAACTGATAGTGAAGAGTCAGATGTTAGTGGTTCAGATGGGGATGACACATCTTGGATATCATGGTTTTGTAATCTGAGGGGGAACGAGTTCTTCTGTGAAGTTGACGACGAGTACATCCAAGATGATTTTAATCTATGCGGACTGAGCAGTCAAGTTCCTTATTATGAATATGCACTTGATCTAATTTTAGATGTGGAGTCCTCTCATGGTAAAAGACCCATCTTTTGTTAAGAAAATAGGAATCTTGCTCTCCTGTTTTGTTGTTTGCTTTCCCATGAATTTTTTATTTTCCAAAAGGTTGCTATATAGCCGTAACTGTAGCTGGTTCATCCTTCATAGTCCTGTTACCTGGTCATTTATTTAAAGATTTACCTCAAACACTGCATTATCATTAAAGTGAAATATCAAAAGCTGTATATGAGAAAGATTCACGTCTCACCTTTCTTTTGGTTGGATTAGCTTCTCACTGATTTTGCTTATTCTTAAATTTCAACTATGTTTTAAACTTTATTCCCTTTAGTCATGGTTTTAGTTGAACATAAACCATTCCATTGCATATGGTATTGGTAGATGATGCACTATATATTCTGTTGTCGATAAAGATGGTTTCAATTTGTTTTTGAGAATGTAACCAAGGATTCTATAGTAAAAAATGATGATAGAACACATATATGTTTGCTTGAAAGTCTAATGTCTTTAGATGTCCTCTGTGTCGCATAAAATCCTCGTTTAGCAAGTTTGTCCGTCACTCGATTTTCTGTTAGAGCGATCCCATATATCTTCTCTGGCTATCCATGAACTCCTCTAGAAGAAATTTTGTCTTGATAGTTTTTACATGACTCGAAAATTCTAGTCGTTATATTTTCCTTTCTTTTTGTGTACAAATGAACTCAAAAGTGGATCACTTGATGGCCATTTGAGTGATAACAAAGGCTATCTTGTGTTCAGATTTGATGACATCAGTGATCTGGCTTCCGTTTGCTAGGAAATTAGGTTCTCACTATAAAGGAGTGGAGCAAAGAACTTAATTGGCTAAGCATCCAACTTCACTTGTTTCCACAATGGGGCACATTCTCCAAGAACACTTGTAGTTCTGTTAATTACGTGGGTTACAAATTGTTTGATCCAGAAAACATCTGATTCTCAAAATCAATGGAAAATGCAAATATTTTATATGGGAAATTGTAAAGGGAGATTTACTGCTCAAGTTACCTTGTTCCTGTAGTAAACTCATAGTTGCTTATTGTGTATTCCTCTTTTTTCTCAAATTTCTGTTCTCCCTTTTTAGTACGCTGCCTGCTCTTTTGTTTTTTCTTCGCTTGTCTAGTTGTCTTGTTGTCTCCTCTCTTTGTTCTGTTCAAAGAAATTCAAATCATTTGGATAGAACATGTATTGTAATCATTGTAGGGAAGGGGTACATTTGTCCAACTTCCACAGAGAAGTGGACACTTCCATTATCATCTTACTAATTATGTTATATAGAGTTTACACTCTATTGTGGATGCGATGCGTAGAAAGATATTCAAATCATTACAATGTGTCTCGTTTAATATCGGGACTATGTGCATCAAAATATAAAGCACCAGCATCTCACCATGATCAAGAGTTACATTGTGCTTGCCATGGTTCAACAGAACTTTGGATGTTCTGAACTTTCTGTTCGGATTTGTTTATGCTTTGCCTTTTGGTTACATTTGAGATATTGGCAAAGGTGATTTAATATACTGGGGCTTGATTTCGTTGAAGATTGGCCATGAATTGCAGATTTGGAGATGTTCTTAGTTTGCATCGCGGTTAAAACTTATGAATCTTGGTGATTTTAAATTTTTCTTGGAGTCATTGCGTTACCATCAACCTTTGGCTTTTAAGCCATTTCATCATTTTTGAACCTTATTTAAAGTTCAGTGCTTCATTTACATGACTTTCTTGATCTGATATCCAAACACTCAACGTGTGTTCTCACCCTGGTTAAGGACATGGGAATTTTGAATTCTTTATGCACTGGCATCTGCAACTTTTCACTTTGGTTCAGGCAATTTTTGGGTGCAAAAAATATGCAAACAGCGGCAACCTGGAAGTTGTGATGGTAGTGAGTGAGGAGGCCTGCCTCTGAGCATTGTAAATAAGAGGCTCTGATGGTGAAGTGCCTTGGGTGCTAGAGCTCTTGGTTGACTGTATCTATTGATTTTTGATTTATGCTCTTAGTTCAATTGTGGGAATTTGTCTGTTGTCACTTTGTCTGTGCGTGAATGACTGGCTTAGAAGCCATTTGCGTATACCAAGTTTGACCAATGATGCAAAGAAGTAATGAGATGTTGGTTGCCAAGGAGATGCCATAAATTTTCCAAAGATACATAATTATATATTGCATGCTTGAATGACACTTGCACAATTAGTCATGGGATTGAACAGGTTAAATAGCCATCTCAATTTCGAGCATGAAGAACATGTATGCCTATTTGAAAGTAGAATTTCTCACTCAACTCGATTGGTCAACATAATTGAGATTCGAGAGGATGTTAGGGCTTGGGCATACTCATGAAGATGATATGTTTTAAATGGTGAATAGTCTTAGTGAGAGGCATGTGGGCATGGTCAAAGCATTAGCAGTCAGAAAAGGGAAAAAACAAGAAAAAGTTTGTAATTGGTCAAGAGGTGGTTCCAGTGGTAGAAGGCTTGTGAACATGATGGTGATTAAGACTGGTTGTACTGAATATTGCCATCTTGACTGGTTTTCTTTTGTAGCATAAAAGCCTTTATTCATTTATTTATTGAATAAATAATATGCATGTAAAATTGTCTGACCCAGTATGTTCTTCCTTTTTTTTCGTGTGGGTAAGATGGTTAAATGAGCTTTGCATGGATGTTGAGGGAACTTGGGAACCCATGCTGGTAACAAGAAATTTATTGGAAAAGTAAATGAATGCGAGAAAAAGAACAAGATGGTGGTAATAATGAACAACTGCCCAAGTTGAAGAGGTTCATAAAAGGGAATTTGCATGTCAGGATAAGGCAAATGTTGATTGAGAATGAGTGAATTGATATGGACAAGGTGATAGAGGAAGAGTGGATGAAGGGTGAAAAGTGGCTAGGGATTATAAGAATGGATAATGTGTTTGTGGGGGTGGTTGAAAAGTTATTGGTGGATCATGTATATGTGCTTTTCTCTTTGTAAAAGACGTGTGTTTTTCTTTACAAAAGTAGGGATAATGTTATGAAATGATCTCGTTGCATGAAATAAGAAAATGTTTTGGCATGTGAAACTTAATAGGTTTTTTTAGACTGGAGCATAACCTATGTTGCATGAATACATGTATGCGTGTCAGTGTAGGACATGGCTATGGGGTGTCTGATTCCTTGAGCCCCCAAACGTAGAATTCGGTGACAATTTTTTTTTTATATATATATAAATGTTATTGAATGCAGAGTATGAAAAAGAAATAGCAAGTTTTTTTTTTTTATAAATGTTAACTTTTGTATTGCTATAAAGAGATGGAGTACAGTTTTGGGTTAATCCGAGAGTACCCTCTAGGCGGGACTCTCGGTAAAATATAGGTCAACAGACCCTGTACAAAAAATGGGCTTATAAGGTTGCCACCTTATAATCGGTTTACAATGAGTTTACAAAAAATGGGCTTATATGGTTACCCGTATCCAGTAAGATATTCTTCTAAGTGTATCCTCTGCGGTCCAGAGCAAAAAAGGAGATGGATCGGGTTTGATCTTCTTCATGGGCCCTAGCCTCGTCCTTCGCCAGGAGATCGGCGAACTCGTTTGACGTCCTCGAGCTATGCATACAAAAGATGGCCATATCCCTGCAGGTGTATGCAATCTCATAAAAAATCGAAGCAAGATACCATAGAGGTGTAGATCTCCCGGTTGCCCATGTTATGATGTTAAATGCATCACCCTCCACTATTAGGTTTTGCCCCCAAGATTGATTGAAACTTTTTAAGCCCCCACTGTTATGATGTTAAACGCATCACCCTCCATTGAAAGAGTCTAGTGCTTGTTACAAATTCAAACTTCTTAGGCCCCAACGAAGTCAATTTACATAAAAATGAAAGAGTCTAGTGCTTGTTAATGAATGCATGGCTAGAATTAAATAAATTCTAACTCTATTTATGTGACCGATAGCAAAAACAAGTTCTTTCTAGTATTTTTGAACTTGAAGAATATAGAATAATCTGTACCTGTACGCATTTCCATACATCTCCGACACCGGTATGGGGCCCTTTTAGAAGAATCCTTGCACACTTGGACAATTTTTAGTGCAAGTTGGAACCCAGGTGCAAAGGCTAGTAAAACCTAGAAGAAGTTCACTGCACTTCAAAAATCTCTCTTTTTCTTTGTTTTGTTTAGGCGATCTAGTTAGACTTACAAATTCAAATATGCAAACTTTCAATCATGAAGATGCCCTTTGTGAGTGATAGAGGTGTACAATATTTATTACTTGACATAAATTCAGCTCTAGAAACTAATGCAAATTCATCAAAGATTGAATCTGGGCCGATCCAATGGTCACAATTCCATTTCGTATTTGAATTTTTATTTTCTTTTTTACAAATCCAAATCACTTGAAATTTTGAGCATCTATTCTTTAAAAATATTAGAATCTAATAAAAATACAAAAACAATAATATGAAAAAAAAATGACCAAAATACCCCCAAAACATTTCAGGGGTATTTTGGTCAATTTATATTTAACGAGTTCTTTTTTTAATATTTTTATTAGGTAGATCTTGATGAGAAGAATTAACGCCTAAAATTTCAAGTGATTTGGATTTGTAGAAAAAAAAATGAAAATTCAAATACAAAATGAGGTTGTGGCTAATACTGTAGCTGTTAGCTAGAGGGCTAACGCCAGCCTTTCCCTATATATATATATATATATATATATATATTGTTGATAAAAGGGTAAGGACCTTAAACTTTCCCTTAACCCGTTCTAAGCCCGGTTAAAGGAAGTGGGTTGTGTTAGGTAGGCAGCCAACGTATAACTTTGCCAAAACTTTCTATGATGATGATAATGACGGTGATATATTGTTGATATGAAATTACATGATATTAAAATAGTAGATAAATATTAAATCAATGGGAAAGGGATACGACTCCCATCCTTTTGAATGTAAGCATAATGTTCCTATCTTGGAGTTGGAAGTGCATATATGCTTTAAAATGACATTAGTGAAAAACTCCAATCTTTTA